ACACTAAGCTTCAATAATATTGGCATATATTATTGCAATAGAAAAAGTGCAAATATATAGCAATGATTAAATAACAGAAAACAATTGAAATTTCTTTAAGAAACAGAATAATAGGGAACATGGAAGTACAGCAAGGGATATTTATGAAGAATATATCAGAGTCTTGATATTTACATTTAAGTAACAAAATCTCCTCTATGCTAAGTAGTTTCTTTGTATACACTTTATTAGGCCACCAAATGAAACATTTGAATGCTTTAAGAAAATTACTATGTTACTTTATAACATATTTCAACATGGTTCTAAAGTGTTCACAATGCTACAATTTATTTCTTTTTTTTTTTTTTTTGGTACCAGGGATTGAATCCAGGGGCATTTAGCCATTTAACCATGAAGCTACATCCCCAGCCTTTTTATACTTTTTATTGAGATACTCTTGCTCAGTTACTTAAGTAATGAAGATATAAAAAAAAATATTGTCGTGCATATCTTGTTGACATTTTAAAAATCCACAAACAAATGATCTGAAATCTTGTCTAGAGAAATTGTTCCTAAATACTTAATGTTTAACTATGGAGGACTCAAGCATGTCTTGAGGATTATTATTATTATTATTATTATTATTATTATTATTATTATTATTATTATATTTTATATACTTTTATGCAGTGGGTACTAAGGATGGAACTCAGTGCCTCACACATGCTAGGCAAGCACTCTACCACTGAGCCACAACCCTAGTCCCATGCCATGATGTCTGAGTTTTTAAAGTGTCTTCAAAGCAAAACAAAACAAAACAAACAAACAAACAAACAAAAAAACCACTTCAAAACAAGACTTATTTATTTATTTTGGTATCAGGGATTGAACTCAGGGGCATTTAACCACTGAGCCACAATCCTGAGCCCTTTTTTGTATTTTATTTAGAGACATGGTCTCACTGAGTTGCTTAGGGCCTCACTAAATTGCTGAGACTGGCTTTGAACTTTTCATCCTCTTTCCTCAGTCTTTTAAATCGCTGGGATTACAGGCCTGCACCATTGTGCCTGGCCAACAAGCCTAATTGAATGTCCTTAAATGCTGTTTGAAAATGTGATGTTAGGGCTGGGGTTGTAGCTTAGTTGGTAGAGTGCTTGCCTTGTATGCACAAGGCCCTGGGACAAGGCCCTGGGTTCAATCCTCAGCATCACCACCAAAAAAAAAAAAAAAAAAAAAAAAAAAAGTTATGCTAAGGGAATGGAAACAATACAGGCTGAAATGAGTACAAACATTTTTTGTTTTTTTTGAGAGAGAGAGAGAGCGAGAGCGAGAGCGAGAGAGAATTTTTTAATATTTATTTTTTTAGTTTTCAGGGGACACAACATCTTTGTTTGTATGTGGTGCTGAGGATTGAACCCAGGCCACACGCATGCCAGGCGAGCGCGCTACCGCTTGAGCCACATCCCCAGCCCCAAATATCTTTTCAACACAGGTTTTAATTGAAAAGGTTTGTGAACTAATGGGATTCTTTTCCAAGGGCATGCTGGAAACACTGAAAAATAACATGAGAGATCTGGCAATATTTTCTCAGGCAACTTCTCATCCTATTTCAGTTTCCTGAAACATCCCTGGTTAAGTCTCTTGTGATTAAAAAGTCCAGACAAGCTTTTATAAAAGTCCATCAGGTTCATCATTAAAGCTGAAGTCACACACTAGACAGAGGTGATCTGAAGGGTAATTGAAGGATGGAAGCCCATTGGGTCCAATCTGTTATTCCTTAAGTAAATTGAGAGCCAACTCTACTGTCAGCTCTTTTTTTTTTTGAATACTAATAATCCAAGGTGTGCAGGTACTCTGAGGTATGAATCTTCTAGGTAGTGTACTGTCCATCATCACTCAGAAGCTTGTAGGTGCTATTAATATTGAGACTGGAGGAAGAGAAGTGTTTGTGGACCACTTCTTGGCTCTGCACTGAAGTCCCCAGGGAAATCTTCTGCAGGTTCTGGAGAAGGTCACAGCCCTGAGGCAAATGAAACAGCTCCCAGCCAGTGCATGTTTTACAGTGGGTAATAGTGATGCTGAACTCTCTGATTCCTTGTGCTCTAGGATCTCTGCAATGGCCACCTGATTGATTTTTCATGTCATGATTGTCAGCCTAATGTTGGCACTGTTGATGAGCTTGAATTGGGTTTGGAGGAAAAATCAGGAACAACCATCTGGTCCATTGTCATGTTCAATTTCTGGAGAAGGTGACCAGGAGTTCAGCAACTGGGGAGCACAGAGCACTGATAAAGCAGGTGCTATCATGAGGGAACTGGAGGGGGGACCTGGGGACCCTTCAATGGTACAGTTGGGCTGAGACTCAAAACCCAATGCGTTCTACCACTGAGCTACAGCCCCAGTTCTTTTTGGTTTTCATTTTGACACAAGGTCTAGCTGAGCTGCCTAGGCTGGCCTCAAACTTGCTTTCCTCCTGCCTCAGCCTCTGGAGTAGTTGAAATTACTGGCATGTACCATTTCAGCTAAATATATTTTTAAAATTATTTTAAAATTTTTGGTATCAGGGATTGAACCTAGGGGTGCTTAACCATTAAGCCACACCCCCAGCCCCTTTTTATGATTTATTTTGAGACAGGGTCTCCCTAAGTTACTGAGGCTGACTTTGAACTCACAATTCTCCTGCCTCCACCTCCTAGGATTACATGCATATGCCAGGCATATACCACAAATATATATATATATATATATATATATATATATATATATTTTAAACCTTAGGAAACTAGGCCTGGTGGCAGATACCTGTAATTTCAGCAATTTTGGAGTACGCAGGAGGATCACAAGTTCAAGGCCAGCCTGGGCAACTTAGTAAAATTGTCTCAAAATTAAAACTCAGTGGTAGAGCCTGCCTAGGTTCCACCCCCAGTAAGAAGAATAAAAGAGAAACAACAAAAACAAAACCATTTGGAGTTGTCATCATGGGAAATATAGACCTTTGCTTCACTTCCTTACATTTGTTTTAAGCTTTATAGAGTCCCAGTTCTTGGGCAGTGGCCCACATCAGGGGCCCCAAACCTGCAGGGCCTCCTCTGAAGCTTTTTCTCTCTGGCAATCACACAATGCCCTGGAACCAACTTTTTTTTTTTTTTTTAGTTGTTATTGGGCCTTTATCTTATTCATTTATTTATATTGGTGCTGAGAATTGAACATGAATGCAAGGCAAGTGCTCTACCACAGAGCCACAACCCCAGCCCTTATATGTATTATTAAAGCAGTAAAAGTCTTTTTTTTGGGGGGGGAGGGGTGTGGGGGATAAGCAGAATGAGAGTGTGCTGCAGCTGGCTCACCTGGGAAGCCCTGTAAGGAGGGTAGATATCATAGAGGAAAGGGTTTGGGACCAGGTGTCAGGGGAGTTGGGTTTTCTCTCCCACTCTGCAGCAAAGGTCATTCTTCTGACCTCCATTAATGAAAATAGACTCTCCAAAAATGGGCCTGGACTCCAGTGCCTCCTGTGCAAAATAAATTATCTTGATCAAAATAATTAATAATAGCCAGGCATGGTGGCCCACCCCTGTAGTCCTAACTACTTGGGAGGCAGAGACATGGTAAATTCAAGGGCAGTCTGGACAACTTGGTGAGACAGTGCCTCAAAATTAAGTTGCTTAGCACCTTGCTTTCTGCAGAGGCTGGCTTTGAACTCATGATCCTCCTACTTCAGCCTCTCAAGTGGCCGGGAGTACAGTTGTGCAATACTGCACTCAGCTTGTTTGTGTAATCTTGACTTGTTCTGTGAGCTTCAGAATTTTCTGCTACAGATCAGCAATGGCAACCTTCTTGTGCTGGTCTGGTTTCATTCACAGAGTCTGTGTGGAGGCCGCCATCTGTGGTAGAGGCCACCAGCCTAAAAGTCTGGCGAGGTTGCTTACTTCGAATCTCTTGATTCTTTAGGCAGTTGCCTCCTGTCCTGGTAGACATGCAGCAGCCTCTCAAGCTATTTCCATCACAGTGGAGTTGGTAGAAGCATCAGTTATGGATGAAGACCTGGTGGGCTTGAATGTATAGCTGCTGCCATCTCCTGCCCAGATTTCCTGTTAATTTGATAATTTAAGGAGATTAGTTTTTGAGGCTTCTGGCTTGCCCCCCATTACTATGCAAACTTCTTGCCCTCTTCATCTTTGGTGGCACTTGGATCTGCTGCACAACAGATTCAGAGCTGTAGGATGGGCAGGAACACCATCAATCTCAGCACATGTGGTCTGACTTTCCAGATCTGTTTCAGGTCCTCCATCTGTCCATATTTTCTCAGCTTCATGTGTGGACACTGATGACCTTGTGCAGTGGTGCTGAAAGAGATACTTCAAGCCTTGGCCAATTGCATTCATGTTCTCCAAAGCATACGGGCCATTTTAGATAACTTGCTCTGATTCTGTCTACTTTCAGAACTTTGTATCTCATAATTTGCCTCCAGGATCAGGGTCCTCCAGGATCAAGGTCCAGATATTGCCTAAAGGCTCCATCAGTAGACTTAAGATACTTATTTGTGAAAAAAAGGAAAAAAAGATTAGGTAGGTTTTTAAACAACAACTATGCTTGAAGCTGTGAGATTGCCTACCCTCATCACTCTTCCTTAGCACTTTGTTTTTTTCTCTTGTGGTGTCATGGGGATTGAACTCAGGACCTTGTGCATATGAGGTAATCATTCTACTCACTGAGCTACACCTCCATTGTTCCTCAAGTACATCTAAGGATGTACAGGAATCCTGTCAAGAAAAGACACGGGGCTGGGGATGTGACTCAAGGGGTAGCGCGCTCGTCTGGCATGCGCGGGGCGCTGGGTTCAATCCTCAGCACTACATAAAAATAAAACAAAGTTGTTGTGTCCACCGAAAAATTAAAAAAAAAATAAATATTAAAAAAATTCTCTCTCTCTTTAAGAAAAAAAAATGCTTTAAAAAGTATGTCAGAGGGCAAGCCCAACGCGTTAGACACTCCTCTCTGCGCAGCTGCTACTTAAGCAACAGAGTGACAGAGTGAGGTCAGTGTTCCTTCACTCAACCACAGCCTCTGCTCATGCGGTTTTTCAGAGCACTTTGAGTTTTTCGCCACCGGTCCGGTTTGCTGAAGGGGTGGCAGACTCGCGCAGTATGGGGCTCAGTGGTGTCCGGCTGCTCCCGGCCTTGGTTGTCCTCTGTGCTCCCGTGAGTGCCGCAGTTGGTGAGTAGGCTCCTTGCGGACCTTCAGAGCTGTGAGATTCCAGGGTTGCGGGCTGGTTCCAGCGAGAGCTGAGCGTCCCCGGGGCTGACGCGCTCAGGTGCACGATCCCTGGGTGGAGGAGGGGTGTGGTGCTGGACTGGACGCAGCCATTTGCCACCGAACCTCAACTCCGCTTTTCAAGGTTTCCCCCAGCCTCCTGGTCCGGCGACCTAGATCGGTGCTGCACCTTGCCGCTTCTTTGCCCTGTGGTTGGTTTTCGCACTTTTTTTTTTTTATTTTTTACTTCTGACGCTGCGAGCTCCCGGGGCTGTCTCCCAGGTTGCTCCTTTGAGCAATATTCATGGGGATCGCTTCCCACCCGTGTTGGGGAAAAGTTTACAGGCATCCGAAGTCACTGGAGTCCTCAGTACCTGGAGTTGAGGGTCTTCCTTTCCTCCTGCCAGGAGCTGGTAGGGACATGGCCACAGCCGCTGTGGGGACTGTGGCTTCACCCAATGCTCGGGAGATTAGAGGCTGAAGACTTTCTGGGCCAAGAGATTCTTCCTGTGATTTCTCTCAGTTCCACCTCATTGTCCCCTGGACTCCTGCTGCCTGGGGGGAGGGGGGTCTTCTCCCCTCTTGCACCCCCTTTACCCTAATATGAGCTTGTTCGCTACCAGACATTCCTGGGTTCCAGCTCTCCCTCCTTAGCCTATGGTAAGGAAGCAATGAGGAGAGAGAGAAGTCCCCACAGCATTTGTGCATATAGATGGTGCTAGGAATTGGACCTAGGTCCTTGTACACCCTAGGCAAGCACATGGTCAGTCTTTAAACCGGAATTGTAAAGGACATTTTCCTCTTGCCTCTGTGAGCTCCCAGTTTAAAACCTTTCTCCCAGCAGGGCACTGTGCCTCAGGCCCCCAATCCCAGCTACTTAGGAGGCAGAGGAAGGAGGTTGGCAAGTTCGAGGTCAGCCTAGGCAACTAAGTATTGCCCTGTCTTAAAAAATAAAATACAATAATAAAAATAGCTAGGGATATAGCTCAGTAGAACACATTTTTAAATGGAGTCACCTTGCTGTGCTATAGAAAGAACATCAGAACTTACTCCTCCTATCTAACAAACTTTGTGTCCATTGATCAATGTCTCTCCTTTTCTATTTACTCTCACACTCCAAATCCAGCCTCTGTTAACCACTATGTACTTTCTTCTTCTGAGTTTCAACTTTTTAATATTTTACATTTAGGTTAAAGCATTTTTCTTTCCTTGCCTGGTTTATTTTACTTAATTCCTCTAGGTTTGTCCATGTTATCCCAAGGGGAAATTACCCGTTTTTATAGGCTGAATAGTATTCTATTGTATGTGTATGTCACAATTTTGCTTTTTTTTTGTTGTTGTTGTTGTTTGTTTGCTTTTGAGACTAGGTTCTACTATTTTGCCTGGACTGGTCTTGAAATTCTGGGCTCTTGTGATCTTCCCATCTCAACCTCCTACAAAACTGGGGTTACAGGTGCCTGCCACCATGCTTGGTTAATGCCAAAGTTTTAAGATCTATTCACCTGTTGATTGTTTCCATGTCTTGATTATTGTGAATAATGCTGCAATGAATGCTGATCTTAATTCCTTTGGGTATACATGCAGTAGTAGGAGTAGTGGGATTGCTGGATCATAGAATAATTCTGTTTTTAGATTTGTGTGTGTATGTGTGTGTGGAGTGTGGGTACTGAAGATTGAAGCCAGGAGTACTCTACTACTGAATGACATTCCTACCCTCCTCTCCTTTTTTTTTAAAATTTATTTTTATTTTGAGACAAGGTCTCCCTAAATTGCCCAGACAGGCCTTGAAATTGCAATTCTCCTGCCTTAGCCTCTCAAATCTATGAGATTACAGGTGTGTGCCACTCTGCCCAGCTGTTTTTAGCTTTTTGAAGAACCTCCTGTACTGTTTTCCAAAATGACTTACTAAATTACACCACCAATAGTGATCTGTTTTCTCCCCATTCTTGCTGACACTTATCATTTTTCATGTTTTGACAATAACCAATCTAATAGGTGTGCAGTGTTATCTTGTTTTAGTTGCATTTGCATTTATTCATATATCTGTTGGTCACTTGTATGTCTTTTTTTTTTTTTTTTTTTTTGGTACTGAGGATTGAACCCAGAGGTGCTTAGCTACTGAGCAACATCCCTAACCCTTCTAATTTTATTTTTATTTTGAGATAGGGCCTCACTAAGGGCCCACTTAGGGCCTGGAGAAGTTGCTGAGACTGGCTTTGAACTTGTGATTCTCCTGCTTCAGGCTCCTGAGCCACTGTGATTATGGGCATGAGCCACCATGCCTGGCTGATTTGTAATCTATTTTGAAATCTGGTATTGTGACACCTCCAGTTTTGTTGTTTTACTTTTTTGGTATTGGGGATTGAACCCAGGAGCACTCAACCACTGAGCCACATTCTCTGTCCTTTTTGAGACAGGGTCTCGCTAAGTTGCTTAGGGCCTTGCTAAATTGCTGAGGCTGGCTTTGAACTCACGATCCTCCTGCCACAGCTTCCTCAGCCACTGGGATTACAGGCATGTGCCACCGCACCCAGCCAGCTTTGTTCTTTTTGGTGAAGATTACTTTGGTTATTTGGGGTCTTTTGTGGTTTCATATGAATTTTAGGACTTTTGAAAATTTTTCTGTGTGGAATAACATTGAAATTGTGATAATTCTTTCCTTCCCTTCCCCCCCTTCTTTTCCTTTTGTGGTGCTAGATGGAACCCAGGGCCTCATACATGCTAGGAAAGCGCTCTACCATTGAGCTGCACTCCCAGCCAGATGGCCCTAGGGTTCTGATGGAGCTTGAGCTCCAGTCAGTCTTCTCTTCGTCCCCATTGCAGGGGCCCTAATGCTGACAGCCACTGGCACAGTGCAGGGCACCGCGACCTCCCTGCCATTGTCAGCATGACACCCTCCTTCCCGCTCCAGTGCTGGCACCTGCTCTTGGCCCTCGCTCTCAGTGGCCTAAACCTCACCCTTGAGAGCCCTCCACACTGCAGCCTGCAGGTGCTGGATGGTGTCTGTCCCTCTGCATCTCTCCACTGTGGGAACTTTCTCTGTTCCCAACCCCTGCCTATCTGTTTTGGACCCTCACCAACTTGTATCTGTCACAAGCCCCCTCTTGTGGGACCCTTACAATCACAACAGCCACCCTCATCTGCCTTCATCCAGGGCACCCCCTTGTTGTCACCACCACCCAACTTCTCTCAGAGTCACCTGTACCCCATGCCTATCCTTGCTCTGTCCACTTATCTCTCTTGTCCTCCCATCTCCCCTCCCCACCCAGCCCAGAAAAAGTTTCCTGATCTACCACTCCTTGACCTTTTTTCTCCTCTTTTCGTTGCTTGACCTCAAGGGCTCTTGTTCTTGACACCACGTATCCCAATCCTTGTTTTCACCACTTAGTTAGTCCTGGTATTCTTCTAGTAATGCCTCTCTCAGCAGCAGCTTCCTCCTGGGATTTTGTTGTTGTTGTTTGTTTGTTTGTGTTGGGAATTGAACCTGGGGTCTTGTGCTTGATAAGCACACACTCTACCACCAAGCTACACCCCCAGATCTTTGTATATTCTGAACATTACTTTCTCATTAGACACGTGATTTGCTAACAGTTTTTCCCATTTTAGGGGTTACCATTTCCATGGGGGGTGCTTTTTGTGTGTGTATGGTGCTGGAGGTTGAACCCAGGGACACTACATGTGAGTTATATCCTCAATGCTTTTTTAAATTTTATTTTGAGACAGGGTCTCACTAAATTGCTGAGGCTTATGTCCAACCTGCAATCCTCCTGCCTCAGCCTCCCAAGTAGCTGGGATTACAGCCATGCCCAATAGAACATTTTTTCATGGGTCTTGTTTTTTTTGGGGGGTACCGGGGATTGAACTCAGGACTGGTCAATCACTGAGCCACATCCCCAGCCCTATTTTGTATTTTATTTAGAGACAGGATCTCACTGAGTTGCTTAGGCCTCACTTTTGCTAAGGCTGGCTTTGAAGTTGCTATCCTCCTGTCTCAGTCTCAAGAGCCACTGGGATTACAGGTGTGTGCCACTGCACCTGGGCATGAGTCCTCTTTGTGTACAGACATATTTAATTTTGGTGAGTCCAATTTATCAAATTTTTTTTTGTTTGCAGTCTGTGCATTTTTCTATCTATGAAAGCATGGTCAAACTCTAAGTCATGGAGATTATTCCCAATGTTTTCTTCTAAGAATTTTTAGTTTTAGTTTTTAAGTTTAGGTTTTAGAGTCACGTTGCATTAATTTTTTTCTTTCTTTATGTGTGTGTGTGTGTGTGCGTGCTGATGGTGGTGGTGGTGGTACTGGGGATAGAAACCAGGTCTCTTTACCATTGAGCTATATCCCCAGCCCTTTTTTTATTTTATATTTTGAGACAGGGTCTAACTAAATTAATTGCTGAGGCTGCCCTCAAACTTGTGATCCTCTTACCTCAGCTTCCCAAATAACTAGAATCACAGATGTGTGCCACCATGCTTGGCTTTTGGCCTTTCTTTTTTCCTTTTTCAGTGCTGGAGATGGAACCTAGGACTTTGTCTTTGTGCATGCTAGGCAAGCAGTCTACCACTGAGCTACATCCCAGCCCTGAGTTAATATTTTTGTATGGGTTTAGTAGAAGGTCCACCTTCCTTTGTTTGCCTGTGACAATTTAGTTTTCCCAGCCCCCTTTTGTTGAAAAAAATATCAGGGTTCTTTGGGAACACTGCTGCCTGCCTTCCTCAGGGGACGATAATGGGACCAGTTACCTCCCTACCTGCTTCCCCATTATGCCACTCTTGCTTTTAGACTCAGTCTACCTTTCACTTCTCTGTAGGGTAACAATCCTACTCTAGACTCCTTTCTGGTTACTAACTCCAGCCCCTCTGGTCCCTCCAGCTCTACCTTGTCCATGAGGGGCCTGCACAGAGGCAGAATCTCCTCTCATCTCCCGTGCAACTGCCTGTGCTCCGCAGCCCTCTGGCCATGAGTCCTTCCTTCCATGCTGGGTTCCGCCTGGGCCCTCGCTGGCCTCTGGCAAGCTCTGCTCTGTACCTCTGGCTCTCCTACTCCTGCCTTTCCCCTGCAGGCCAGCCTCTGCCCTGGATTCCCACATGTACTCTTAGGGAGCCTGTGTCCCGGCCTTGAGCCCTGGCCTACATGCCTGCCCATCTCCATTTCCCCTCCCTTCACCCCTCACTTTTCTCTCCTTCCTCTCTAGTGTCCTATTTTTGTTGTATTAGAAATTCTTGGGGCTGGGGATGTGGCTCAAGCGGTAGCGCGCTCGCCTGGCATGCATGCGGCCTGGGTTCGATCCTCAGCACCACATACAAACAAAGATGTTGTGTCCGCAGGAAAAAAAAAAAAAGAAATTCTTCTTCTTGGTTTTTGTCCATGTGAATTTTCTTTCTTTCTTTTCTTTTTTGGTACTGGGGATTAAACCCAGGAGTGCTTTACCACTGAGCCACATCCCCAGCCCTTTTTATTTTTTATGTTGAGACCAAGACTCACTAAATTGCTGAGACTGACTTTGAATTTGTGATCCTCCTGCCTCAGCCTCCTGAGTCACTGGGATTACAGGTGGGCACCACCAGGTCCAGTTGTCTATGTGCATTTTCTGAATCCGCACGGTGGTCAGGAGAGCAGAAGCTTTGGGTTGAACATGGATGATGCAGTCATTTCCAGGAAGAAGTGTCATTCATTGTTGTTTCTTCCCCAGGAGCCCACAGTCTTCATTACAACCTCATAGTGAGATGTCAAGGTGGATCTGTGCTCTCAAGGTTCTTTGCTCAGGGTCGCTTGGATGATCAGCCCTTCCTGTGCTATGACAGTGAGAGAGGCAGCGTAGTGCCCTGTGCACTATGGGCAGAAACAGTCCTGGGACCAGAGACTTGGGACACAGAGACCCAGGACTTGTCAGAGAGTGGCAAGAATCTTAGAGTGACCCTAGCAGATATCAACTTCCTGAAAGAGGAGAAAGGAGGTGAGTGTGGGCAGGGGCAAGGGTGATATGAGGATTTCTCCATGAAGGATGAGAACAGAGAGCAGGGATCTGTCCCTTTTTGTAGCATAGAGCATGGGATTGGTGAAAAAGCATCATCTCATGATTTTTGTCTTTCCTTCCTTCCAACTGAAAATTTAATCATGATACTGAAAAAAGGAAGGCATGGAGAGAAGGAAGGGAGTTACAAAAGCAAGAACACATATCACACACTACAGTGCTGCTATTTGAAAAGAGTCACATAGATTTGTGCATCAGATAGCCCTGAAGATGACAGTGGCCTTGTCCAAATCAGTGTATTGCATTCCTAAACTACATTTCAGATAGAAGAATGACCTGGCTGACATCAATGTCCTGCAAAAGGTGCCAGATGAGCTGACCCTAGCCAGAGCTGAACTGGAGATGCTGACTGAGAACCTGACGGAAGACTTGGCCTATCTGAAGTAGAATCAATCATGAGGAGGCCAAAATTTAATTTTTTTCCTCCCAGACCTCAAAATTAAAACATCAGGTTTGCAAATTTGGAGATAAAACACGACCTGTGTAAGTGGCCATTTGTTTTGGATGTGCCCGTGCATGTATATTGCTGCTACTGTTGTTTTTAATGGTTCTTACTAAGGTTTAATTAATCAGAGACACATTCTGATTTTGTCATTTTCATTATAGGTAATAAATTAGGTAATAACAATTTTAACTCTCTTGATTTAGTGATTTTGAATATATATATATATATATATATATATATATATATATATATATATATAATTTCAAAAGTTAGAAAATAAAGAAGTCTACCAATAACATAAAATGCTATCCGTGCCACACATGGCACTCTGATGGACCACAGTGTATACCAGTGACTGGTGTAGAGAATAGACACTGGCAGTAAGTTTTTACACAATTTTCAGTGATTCTACCAATTCTGCAGGATTAGACACTTCTTGCAGCCCTTGACTTAACAGCTGTAGATGAAATCTCTCTAGCAACTTGCATACCAAGCTTCCCCTTCCTGTACAGACAGGATAGTGGATTCTCTAGAAGGAGGGTTAACCAATCCTTCTGGCCCTTAGACACAGCATATAGAGTCCATGGTCACTTAAATATCCTGTGAAAATATCTTTAGTAGTTATTTTGTTGTTGTTGTTGTTGTTTGATTTAGTGTGCCCAAGAACATTTACTTTTATTTGTTTTAATTAGTTATATGTGAAAGTGGAATTCATCTTGACACATCATACATAAATGAAGTACAAATTCTCATTCTTCTGGTTGCACATGATATAGAGTTATTCTGGTCATGTAATTATATTGTAATGGGCCAGGCTATATGGATAATAACCAATCAGACTCCATTTTGCCCTGAGACTCCACATCATGTAAGAAATGCTTCTCCCAGGGAAATCTCCACCTCTACCCATCAACAGTTGCTTAGCATAGCATGTTTGGCAACACAAAATGTCAATTCTTATACAATGTAAAAGTGTTTTCTTTGTGGTTCCCATTTTTCTTGGACAGTGTGTTCTGTCAAAGATTGATTATCTAGATATTAGTAACCATTCTTTACCATGTACATGACATTTTTGTCCATGCTGGGTGAACAAACAACAACAAGAAGTAGTAATATTGTCTTTAAAGTTACCAATGCAGTTTCGTTTCTAGGTCATCAAACAGTTGTTGAAAAAATGTGAATGTCTATAAAATGTCTACTATCCATTGTTTCTAGGATTTTTCCTCAATTGAAAAAAAAAAACTGATACTGTTCAGTGCACTTCTCTGATATCTTTGATTTTAAAAATAAGTAAATTTTATTTAACATATATAGAATTAATTTTAAATAAGTTTGTTAGAGACATCTAATTGGCTTACAAAGTTAAAATGTTAACTGCTAAATATAACATCAAGTACTCTTGACTCCTAAATTTTATAGGGTAACATACTTAAACATTAAATGTGTTTTCCTAAATTGATAAATAAAAGAATTTAAAATTACTTTGTGTTGTCACTAAAAATGTGTTTTTCATTCTGCTTATGATTTTAGATCTCATGACATTTGTTTATGGTTTTGAATTATACAAACAGCCACTTATTCTTTAATGTGGTTTTGGACTACAAAAAGTGTACTCATACCCCGGGTGGGGGTTGAAGGGTATAGACTTGCAGCCTACCTATCCCTTGGATGGTGGATCTGGACTACCAGCTGGTGAATAAAGTTTCCATCTCCCGCTTTAAAATCAACTCAGTAATTTATTGCAATGTCACCTTTACAATATATGCACATAGAGTAATAATTTGCAATTCATTCTGCTCTTCTTCCTCCCTTCATACCCCTCTCCCCTTTCACTCCCCTTTGTCTAATCCAAAGTATCTCTATTTTTTCCTAGCTCCACTTCCTTATTGTGCATTAGCCTCCACATATCAGAGAAAAACATTTGGCCTTTTGTTCTTTGGGATTGGCTTATTTCACTTAGCAAAATATTCTCTAGCTTCATTCATTTACTGATAAATGCCATAATTTCATTCTTCAAGGATGAGTAATATTCCATTATGTATATGTATTACATTATCTTTATTAATTCATCTCTTGAACAGTACCTAGTTTGGTTCCATAGTTTGTAACTGCTTTGCAAATATAACCTCATGACATCTTCACCTTATCATTGTTGAGAAGGTTCATTTACTAGGCCCATTTGCTGGATGAGAAAACGGAATCTCAGGGAATTCCACCTAATTATTCAGAGATATTTTGTAAAGCAGAAATACAAATCTAGTTCCATCAGCACCCCCAATGCATTCTACTTCTACACAGTTCATGGCTGACCTTATCTTACCCACAATCCATCCTGAGCAGGTCCCAGAAGGAAATCAGGCTGGCTCTTCCCAGAGCCCTCTAGACAGAGGTTGGCCTCCTCCACTCTTAGTGTTATTTTTTCTCTGATTGCCTGGCTCCTCTCCAGGCTCTTCAAGCTGTCCTCTCCCATCTTTGTTGTTCAGTGACATCACCTGTCATTCATGTTTTTATAGACCTCTGAGGAAGAGAAAATCCACATGGATTTCAGAATGGCTCAAGATGTAAATGACTGGTCATAATTGGACACCCTAAAAGGGGATGGTATTGATGGCACAGGGGTATAAATCTCATGATGGGCCAGAAAACTCATTTACAGAGCAGCCAAAGGTTTATGTAGATCCATAAAATGGCCACAAACAACCTGAACATCTAGGTAGTAACTCATCTGGAGCAGTCATAACCTCTTTCTGCTGGAGAAATATCAGTGGCTTCTTTTGGAATTGAATTAGGTGTGAAAAATAGCTCCTATGCCATTTGGCTAGGAAAACTGGTAATGATGATGAAGGTGATAATGCAATAGCTTATATTCATAGACCACTTTGCATACATTATTTCATTGAATATTCACAAAGTCCTTTCACTGACTGTCCTAGTCAGTTCTAGCTGCTACAACTAAATACTCGAAGCTTAAGAAACATTTATTTCTCCCCATTTGGGAGGGTGTGAAGTTCATGGTCAAGGTACTGATAGATTGAATTCTTGGAAAGAGCCCTCTTTTTGCTCATAGCTGGCTGCTTCTCACTGTATTCTCACTTGGTGGAGAGCAAGTAAGCCCTGGTCTCTTTTTCAAATTCTGAGAACACTAATCTCATCTTGGGAGACATGCCCCCCTGGCCTATCAAAATCTGATTAGCTCCCAATGGCCCCACTTCTCATGCCATCGCATTGGCATTAGGGCTTCAACATCAATTTGGAGGAGACACAAACATTCAGTAGGGAATGCACTGTGGAGGCCTGGGCATATTCTGTATTTTCTCTGTGCTTCTGCTGCCTCATAAAGAAAAAGGATGGTAATAACTCCTGATCAATGTGCGTGTGTGTGTGTGTGTGTGTATGATTACATTGAATTAAAAACAGGGGATTAGATGATATATGCAAGTAATCCTCGATTTAAAAAAATGAATATACAAACACAGGTATCAAAATAAAAGCTGAAACCAAGTTTAAGAAAAAATTTCAGTGTGGGAATAGAACATTTTATCCTCTTCCTGGGAAATATTGAGTTTTTTCCTGATGATATCAACTTTTTAGGAGATCTAATACATATTTATGAAATTTAACATGATAATTTAGAAACAATGATATATGCTTATATTATACATGTATTACTTTATTCTGATTCCACATTTTAGAAATCAATTTTTAAATAAAACTCATCATAGTCCTCTCTAACATTGGTGTTTTTTTTTACCCTCTCCAAAACAAATTTGGAGTCTTAAAGGCAGTTTCCAGGACTTGGGTTCTGTTCCCTCTAAGGCGAAGGAAAGACAGGTCCTTGTGAATCAGGATGATCTTGACAAACCACAGTGAGGCCTTCATGTGGCTTAGTATATTTGCAAGTTCATCCTACAGGTGTATGTTTGCGACCACCACAATGTGTATTCCTTTTAAATGACTGAACAACACTTGTACACAACACTATCCATAGACTCAAACCCAAGGCCACATTCCAAGGAATCCTAGCAATCTGTACTTTCTATCTGATCTACCCTAAGCATGAATTGCTGATTTAATAAGAAATAAAAGAAGCAATAAAGACTGTGTTTACCTTTGTTAGTAGAAAATAAAGAGTTCGGCCAACCTCAGACTCCAGGACCCCTCAGGTGTGGCCCACAATTGGTCACCCTGTCCATCAATGCAGTTAGTACCCTGACTCCAGAGGCAGGCATGATCTAGGAGGGTGTGCATTTTTCTTCCCTATGCAGCAGGAAATGGTGACTGAAAGAAGAAACTGAGAATTTCCCAGCCTGTAAGCCTGTGGGGAGGCCTATGGTGGGGGACATAAACCCATCTTCCAGCCATTTTCTCAAAAGCACTATGATTTCATGACACTTGGGAAGTGAAGGAGCTTCTGGTTCTGGCCACTCCAGAGGAAAGTTCAAGATAAGTGCCAATTCAGCTGTGTGGCATGAGGAAGGACCTATACACTGAGCCCCAGGACCATGTTCTTGGCAACCCAACTCCAACTTTGTCACCCACTGCAAGTCTGTGCTGCACTGGCCCATCTGGTGATTCATTACTTCCAGGACCCTGATTCCCAATGCAGCCTACTGGGCAGCACCTTGAACTGGGTTCAGAAGGATGCAATGCCAGGAATTATCCCACCAGGAGAGATGAGCACTGCCACAACCTCACCCAGCGGCCTTCACTGATTACTGCAGGTCCAGTGGACCCAGAAAAGGCCATGGGCAATGGAAGGGGCCCAAGGAGCACCCAGTTGGGACAACAATCCCAGGTGAGGCTCCCTCCAACCTCACTCCTCCAGGTCCCCACTCACTGATATTTTGCCCAGTTCAGAAGCAAGCCCAGAACTCCACCAGTGAGGAGGAGGGACAGTTCTTAATAGCTGAGCATGGAGGAGCATGCAGGGCTGCTTAGTGGGTTATGGGAAGCTTGAGCTTGAAACCTCACAGCTAACTCTGGCAGGGTGCCCTTCCATCCAGGAAAAGCCAAGACCCATGACAACTGGAACCTCCAAAGAGTGAATGCTGAGATTGGACTGGTGAAAGGTAACATATCTTACACTGCAGGAACAGTAGGAGGCTTAGTATTGTCCCCAGAACAGCTAAGCAATGAAGACAGTCAAAAAAGTGGAGAGCTGGGGTTGTGGCTCAGTTGCAGAGTGCTTGCCTAGCATGTGGGAGGCACTGGGTTCAATTCTCAGCACTGCACAGAAATGAAAAAAAGGCCTGTTGACAACTAAAAAAATAAATTTAAAAATTGGAGAATCTTGATAACCAAAATTCAAAGAAAGCAACCCAAATATGAATAAAACTCGATTTTGTGAGCACACACCTGGGTTTTTCTGGTTTCCACAAAAAGAGAAAGGACTGTGCACAGAGGGTAGCATTGCCTCCCAGCCTGCCCTGCTGAACCCCTCAGCCAGACTCTGGGGGATGCCTTAAATGCATTCTCAGCAGCTGTTCCGTCCACTGTTCCCAGAGGAAGTGCAGGAAGACACACAGGCCATGATCCCAAAGCTGCCACCACCTGCAAATGCTGCTCAGCCAAGAAACTTGCCCCCCAGCAGTTCCCCTTCTGACTGGCCAGGCCCAGGCAGGACAGAAGACAGAACTCTGACAGCTCAGGGGCGGGGCCATGGGCTGAGGGATTCTTGCCATTGCAAGAGCTCCTGGCTGTCAAACTAAGCCCCGCCCACCCTCACCATAGCAACGCTAGATACAAACACTAGCTCACACCTTCAAGGGAGGACAAGGTGTCCTTGCCTCACCCTAGTCCGCACGTGCTCCACGCCCCAAGAGCTACCTTCAACCTGCAGCAAGAGCCTGCTCAGCCCTCTGACTGCCCCCACGTCCATCGGAGTTCAGCCCATCTGTGCTGCCATCCTGGCTGCCTCTGGGGAGGGGCAGGGTCGTTGCACCAGTCTGAGGGGAGAGATCCCTGGCCTTGCCATAGCTGCCACCCCTCAAACCCAGCATCTACAACCCTTCCGAGATGATCCGGAAACCTCACTGGGTCAGGAGGTGGACCAGCGGGATCTGAATCACATCCCAGTGTCAGCACTCAACAGTCCCCCAGGACCCACGCACGCACCAGGCACGCAGTTCCCTTGCCTATTTCTTCTGCATCTGGTGCAAGCACGCGGACTTTGCACGAGCATGCAGACTTTGCACGTGCATGCAGACTTTGCACGTGCATGCTGACTTTGCACACGCACGCGGAATTTGCACGCGCGCGTCCGTTGCTGGCGCAAGCCTGCCTCTTGCCCAGTATTGACGGTTTTCCTCACGTGCTCGCCTGTTCTCCACTCATTCCTTCCTCAGCCGCGCCCTGGCAACAGGTCTGACAGCCACTTCGCCTGAAGCTGCGTGAGCGGCCGAAGAAGGCCTTCTGCGATGGCCGCTAGAATTACCCACTTGCGCCTTCGCTAAGACTGCTATGGAGACTTCCCACAGCAAGTGTTGTCCCTCACCCCTGCCCCCGGCGCTGAGTGGCAGAGACCTGCCAGAAGGGTCCCACAAGAAGCCCGGTCATGGGCCTCGCCGACTTCCCTCTACTGGTTGGCCACTAAGGGCTTCCTGGGCTGGTGGCACCACTCGCAGGTCATCTTGCCGCCATCCTGCAACTGCTTCTCAGCGGTTGCGAAAAGTGCCTGCTCGGTGCTTTTCCAGGGTCCTGCGGACCCTTGGATCTTTTCTCGGAGACTTGGATATTGCCTCCTCCCTCCGCATGCCAGGTCTCCTGAGGAGGACGCTGCTGTCAACTGCAGCTTTCATGAATTCCTGCATCCCAGGCCGCAGACTCAGACAGCCGCCTTGTAGGGTGCAGGGGCAGGAAGTGGCTCCTTGCCAGCTTCCAGCACCCCAAGAACCCTGCCCAGGGAGGACTGTGATCACAGCCCCTGGAGACAGTGGCCAAGTGGTGGCTGAGCAAGCAGAGCACCCTGTAGATAGAGAACATCAGAGGGGGCGCCCTCAGGTCACTGGGAGAGCATCTGCTTTTAGGCCCCTGGGGGCCCATAGCGGTGTGCCTGCCTTTGTGCCCAGGCCTGGGCCTCTGTGGAGAAACCTCTGCACCCAGAGCTCCCAAGACAGAGCTGAGAGCTCCTGGGCCATCTGCATGAGCTCCTGCCCCAAAAGAAACCCCATCAGCAGCTCCTACAGCTCCACACGAGGTCTCCAAGCCCTGAAGAGGAGGGCTCCAGACCCATCCAAGGGGGAGCCGCCCCTGGAATGTTCTTCACCCCCAGGGATTCCCCCAAAGAAGGCCCAGGGTGAGAAGGTGGCAGAAGGCAGGGCGGGACACCCATTGCCCAAGAAGAAGTCCTCACCCACGGGAGACACCAGCAGGCCACGGAAACGCAAGTTTCCTCTCCTGCAATGCCGCCGAGGGGAACCTCTGAAGCTGCCACCACCTCTGTTAGTGGCCCATCCAGTGACTGCTGAGGACCTAGACAGGGAGAAGAAGAAAGCTCTGCAGCGCATCAACCGTCTTCTGATGGGTGAGACCCAGGCCATTGGGAACAGCTGTGCCATGGCCCCACAAGCCCATGGGGGGGTCCCCTCTCCACTGGGAGGGGCCAGGCCTCTGCCATCAGTGGGCCTCAGCCAGACCTTTCCCCATCCCCCCAGCAGCACAACCATGGTGGCCCACACCCCAGTGTGGGTCAGCTCTGCTGTCTCTTCCCAGAGCCATCCTCCCATTACCAATCTTACAGGACCGCTCTCCCCAAGCCTGCCAATTGCTGCTTTGGCCCTTCCTCCCAGGCCCTCTCTCAGCACATTGGCAGGCTTGGCTGCACAGCCAGTGGCCCCCTTTGGGGTCACACCCTTGAACACCACTATGCCTTCACAGCCCCCACATCTGGGGCCTCCCTCCACCTTGGGTAGGAGCTTCCGGCGCTCTCACCAGGGCCCAAAGCCCTACTGTACTCACAGGCCCTCACCTGTAGCAAGCTCCAGCTCTCCAGCTCGAAGGGTGCGAGGACACATTCCGCAGGGTAAGCAGCCTCTCACCCCTGGAGCCACTGTCCCACCAAGTTCTGGGGTTCCTGGTGGGATGAAGCCTGGAGCCCCTAGCTTAGTCAGCTGTCATCAGCTTGGACACGTGGGAGCTCCAGGTCCAGGGGCAGCTCCAATGCCACCCTTGACTGTGGGCCCAACAACCTTGGGCAGCCTAAACTACTCAACCCTTGGGTCTGACAAACAGAGAAACTCCACTGTGGGTCCTCGTGGTAGCACCCAGACACATTCAGTGACTTCAAAGGCAGCTGGGAGGAGAGACTTGTCCTTGGGTCAGACATCACGCAAGAAAAGATCAAGCTCAGAAAGTAGAGAAACCCCCAAAAGTAGAGAGCACCATGGGGCAAGTTTGGGAAATGACACCTCCAGTGCCCCTAGCCAGAGCACCACCATGGCACCCAGAAAACACACCAAAGAGGGTAAAAAAGGGCAAGGAAAGAGTGGAGTTCCTACCCCGAGTGCCATTCCTCAAAGCCTGCCCATCCAGAAACACCAAAGCTTACCTCAGGGGACAAGCACTCCCACTGAAAAGGGTATCTCTAGTTTGCCTTCAGTCCCTGGGACATCAAGGAGATCAGAGAGCCCAGACTTGCTTCCTGAACTCATGTCAGCCTTTGGGGCCTGGTGTAGCTCCTCCCAAAGAGGAGAAACCCCAAGCACCAGGCAGCAACAAGGAGCAATGTTGGAACAGAACACCTCCAGTGCCCCTAGCCAGAGCACCACCATGGCACCCAGAAAACACACCAAAAAGGGTAAAAAAGGGCAAGGAAAGAGTGGAGTTCCTACCGCGAGTGCCATTCCTCAAAGCCTGCCCATCCAGAAACATCAAAGCTTACCTCAGGGGACAAGCAC